ATCAGAGTTGTAGTGAATTCCAGAGCTTGCTTTTGGACAAGCCAGTCTCGCACCAGTAGGGTTTCAGGAGGTTCCAGGATTACATATGGGGGGGGGGGGGAGGGGTGTGGGGAGAGCATCGTGTGTCATCTGGATGCACTTGGTTGTACCTCCCTCGAGCCCTGGACGCCCCTTTAGAATAGAGGCTTTGTTTGTGCTTTGATTCCTGCAGGGCCTAGTATGTGAGTCCAAAGTGGCAAAAACACATCTACTGTGATAAAATGTGTGTGCCAGCACAGTTCTAGATGGTTTTTATTGATATTTTGCTTATTCCTACATATAATCAGGAGACATTTTCATCTCTGTAAGTGTCGGTAATTTTTGGCAGGGTTTATAATTTAACCCACTCTAGCTGTTAATGAAAACAAGCATAACTCTGCAAGTAAAACTTCTGCCCTGGCCGGTGTGGCTCAGTCGGTTGGACATCATCCCGTGCCCAGAAAGGTCAGGGCACGTGCCCAGGTGGACCCACCCCCGGTGGGGGGCGCTGGGGCAGCCCATGGGTGTTCCACTCGCTTTGTGATGGTACCTTCCCTTCCTCTCCCTCTAAACATCGATTTAAAAAAATAACAAAAGTAAACCTTTTATAAAGTCATAGACGTGGTTTTCAAATGGCCTTTGATTTCCAGCCTCGACTTGTAATTGGTTAGATGACCACCATTACAAACATGTCTTAAGAAAGGGAGGAAGGCCGCCACTGGGTGTTGTTAGTTCTTCCCGTGCGGAAGCTGCACCGCTGGGTGGACGTATTCAGTCCAGTGCCGGGCACCTGGCCCGGCGCAGCTCTGGGCGCAGCTCCCTCTGGCCGGTGCCCTCCCCCCGCAGTTCTGCTTGGTGCTCAGCAGCCTTAACAGGTTGCCTTGCTTTGTCCTTTGCAAAGGGCATCTTTCTAGCCTGGTCAGTCACCTTAACATCCATCACAGGCCGTGCAGTGAGCTGTTAATGATTTGTCAGAAAGTTGGATGTGTCACAGTTGGTAACAGTTGGGGGAACTGAGCCCTTCCAAGATCCCCTTCATCCTCAGCTCCTGGGGGTCAGCGGGGCTGGGGGGGGGGGCGGGGGCGGGGGGGAGGCTAACCATTAGGCTGCCCTTTGAGTCAGACACAGTGAAGGCAAGTGATATGAAAGTGTGTGATTCTACAAAGTGGGGCAAAGTGGGTTTACAGTTGTTCGTATGGCAAATAATACAAAAATAACAATAAAAGAATAAACTGTGTTTCACGCACTCGCACCTGTAAACCCACTTTCCCCGCCTGCGTGTCAGGAGCTCCTTCTTGGGTCTGCTCACCTTGAACCTGTTTGCACCATTTGCTTTGACTTATATTTTCTAGGGAGATTCCCAAAAGGGTTTATACTTCCTGGAAGCAAGAACAGTTGTTCAGTGGAAAACAACGTAATTCACTACAGAACAGTTCCCCAGGTTAAATTCAGCACATATGTCACCACCTGCTGTGTGCCATGCCACTGGTGAAGGTGCCGTGGCCTTATCACAGTACTAGAAGCCCAGTGCACGACCAGCAGGCGGACATGTCCCGAGGGGTCCCGGACTGTGAGAGGGCGCAGGCAGGCTGAGGAGACACCCCCCCCCCCCCCCATGCACGAATGTCATGCACTGGGCCCCTAGTGTAGAAATAACAGTTTTTCGTTAAAAACTGTATGTAATATTTTGATGTATCTCTTATTCGGTGTGGACCATTTGGGACAGATGAGTTTAAAAGTGCCTTCTGGTGTTTTTTAAATTATAGTTGACATACAGTATTACATTAGTGTCAGGTGTACAACATAGGGATTAGACATTCATACACTTTACAAAGTGCTCACCCCAGTAAGTCTAGCACCCATCTGACACCATACATACTTAGTACAGTATTACTGACCGTATTCCCTATGCTGTACTTTACATTCCCATGATCATTTTTTAAATATATTTCAGAGAGGAAGGGAGAGGGGGAGAGAGAGAAACATCAGTGATAAGAGATGGGCTGCCTCCTGCACACCCCACACTGGGGATTGAGGCTGCAACCCGGGCCTGTGCCCTGACCAGGAATCAAACCTGGTTCATAGGTCGACAATCAGCCACTGAGCCACGCTGGCCAGGCTCCATGACTATTTTTAAAACTTGCAGTTTGTACTTCTTAATCCCTTTCACTTTTTACTCAGCCCCCTCACACCCTTCCCGTCCGGCAGCTACCTGTTTGCTCACTGTGTGTGTGAGTTTTCTGTTTTGTTTATTTTGTTCTATAGATTCCACAAATAAGCTAAATCATGTTTGTCTTTCTCTGTCTGATTTACTTCAATTAGCAAAGTACCCTTGGGGTCCATCCATGTCACAAATGGTAAGATTTCATTCTTTTTTCTTTTTTTTAAATATATTTTTATTGATTTCAGAGAGGAAGGGTGAGGGAGAGATAGAAACATCAACGATGAGAGAGAATCATGGATTGCCTGCCCCCTACTGGGGATCGAGACCGCAACCCAGGCATGTGCCCTTGACTGGAATTGAGCCTGGGAACCCTTCAGTCCACAGACCGAGCTCTATCTACTGAGCCAAACCGGCTAGGGCAGATTTCATTCTTTTTTATGGCAGCATAATATTTCACTGTACATGCGCGCGTGTACACGTGTGTGTATCTATCACATCTCCCTTATCCATTCGCCTGTCGATGGACACTTAGGTTGCTTCCGTATCTTGGCTGTTGTAAGTAATGCTGCTAGGAACGTAGGGGTAAAGGGTGCATAATACCTTTTGGGATTAGCGTTTTGGATTTCTTTGGGTAAATGCCCAGAAGTGGATTTGCTGGCTCATAGGCAGTTCTGTTTCTAATTTTCCAAGGATCCTCCATTCTGTTTCCACAGCGGCTGACCCCGATCTGCATTCCCGGGGACAGGGCAGTGGGAGGCTCCCCTTCCTCCACATCCTCCCAGCACTGGTTTGTTGATGTCTCGATGACAGCCATCCAGGTGTGAGGGGTACCTCAGGGTGGCTTCCATGGCACCCCTCAGGTCTTTCCCTGTGTCCCTAGGCCTGTGTGTCCTCTGGGAGAAATGTCTGTCCGGGTCCTCTGCCCATTTCTAGTCGGATTGCCTGCGTCTGGAGGCGCGTGATTCCTTGGCATTTAGGCAGTCAGTCCTTTTGGCTCTGTCATGGTGACCTGTGCTCCGTCGCAGGCGGGTCAGTCCGCCGCAGCCCCCCTTAGCCTTGCGGTTATTCTCGCGTCTGACCAGGTTGCTGACGGCGGAGCGGCCTGTGGGAGGCCGAGAGCCCGAGGCTCACGTTTGCATTTTATTGAAAATGGACTTGCCCATCCGAGCTCCCTGAGGCTGGCTTTCATGTGCTCTCCATGGGTTTCAGTACAGTGGGACTGCCTCTCTGACTCACTGGAGAAGGAACACGCTTTCCCGTGCGAACTGGTAAAATGACTCTAAAGATGAGCTAGAGGGCCAGGCGCGAGCTGCTGAAAAGGAGAATTGAGCGAAAGGAAGTAGCAGGTGTGCCCGGGAGGCAGCGCCGGGCGCCGATGCGGGCCCTGCTGATCGGCTGCCTCTGTTTTCCAGCCTCAAGGAATAGGCTCCCCCAGTGTGTACCACGCCGTCATCGTCATCTTTTTGGAGTTTTTTGCTTGGGGATTACTGACGGCACCCACGTTGGTGGTAAGTAATCTTTTCACTTATCACTTCCTTTAAAACCTCTTTCTACAGTTCCGGGGGGAGAGGGGGTGAGACAGCCCTTCTTCATTTCCGTGCTACTTCTCCTAATACCGTCACCTTCAGAGCGGTTTCCACTGCTTCACTGTCTTCCTCAGCCCTGCTCTCCCTCGCTGTCGGGAGGGCTGGGCGGGGGATTCTGCAGGGACCGTGCCTGCCGGGGTGGACAAGGTCTTACACCCACAGGCTCAGGGACAGGGTCTGCCTGCGTCACTCGCAGGCTTATTTTGAGACTCGTTCATGTGGCTGCGTCTCCACATGCAGACTTTGGTTTAAGCCCAAGATCCAGAGGTGGCCGTGTAGAAAGGGAGGCTTAGGACAGGCTGAGCTGGTCTCACCCAGACTTTCCCACCTCTGGGACCTGGGAAAAGACCTCCCTGCCAGAGTGAACAAGCCAGGTGCTGGCTACTGATCCCTGGTGTAGACTGGACAGGAAGGAGGAGGGAGGAGTTAGTGTAGATGAGGAAGGAGGAGGGAGGAGGGGGGGTTAGTGTAGATGCGGGACAGGAAGGAGGAGGGAGGAGTTAGTGTAGATGAGGAAGGAGGAGGGAGGAGGGGGGGGGTTAGTGTAGATGAGGAAGGAGGAGGGAGGAGGGGGTGTTAGTGTAGAGGAGGGGCAGGAAGAAGGTGTTCAGTCATCAATTGCTGGTTTGATGACATTAGATCAAGAGAATGAATGACCATAGGTCTGAGGGTCTGTAACGCTGAGGAGTGGCTTCCCTGTTTTGACTGCCCTGTGGTCCTAGAAACACTAGGCCCGTGTGTGCTGGTCCCACTGCTCCTCGCAGGGCCTGGCGTGTCCAGGTGGATGGCTTCTGTCCTTCGCTGCAGACCATCCTGGGCACTTGGTATTTCAGGACTATTGACTTTACTCTCAGGTTTTGTAAGGTTTTTTTTGTTGTTTTTTTAAAATATATTTTATTGATTTTTTACGGAGAGGAGGGGAGAGGGGTAGAGTTAGAAATATCGATGGGAGAGAAACATCGACCAGCTGCCTCCTGCACACCTCCTACTGGGGCTGTGCCCGCAACCAAGGTACATGCCCTTGACCAGAATCGAACCTGGGACCTTTCAGTCCGTGGGCCGATGCTCTATCCACTGAGCCAAACTGGTTAGGGCTGTAAGTTCTTAAAACACCTCATTCCTGATGCCCTCGAGTTTCCGTCTGAGCCACTGGGTGGATTCTCGTTGACGGCAGCGGAGAGGAACTGGGAGGCGTGCAGTCCCTGGTGGAGGCCTCCCTGAAAGATGACAGGAAGCACACGGAGCAGTTTTTCTGCCCAAGGAGAGTCCCGCCCTTCCTGTGCCCACTGCCCTCCTCTGGGTCTGAGGGACGGGGCGGCAGGGAGAGCGCGGGAGCGCGGTGCGTCTGTGAGGCGGTGACACAGCCCAATACTGAGCAATCGGGGCTGCGCAAGCCGTGGAGGCCCTGGCGCAGGCGCCAGTTTCATTCTCGCACCTTCCCTCTGGCTACTGTCACCAGGGCTCCCAGGGCCTGTTCCTCGTGAGCGGACCCAGGCCTGTGGTTTCCACCCGCTGGGCCTGGGAGCACTGAACGGCTCGTTGGACATTTCCATGGGTTGGGGTTTCTCTCACTTGATGGAAACTTTCTAGACCCACTTTTTGCAATTCCCATGCCCCTGGTGTCCCCAGTCTTCGCTCTCGGATGTCTAACGACACGCGCCTGTCTGTGAGGGAGGGAGAGCAGTTGCTCACACAGGGGAGCAGACTGGCTGGTGATTACACACATGGACGTGCACACCCTCCTTCCTGGTTCAGTTTTGGTTGTGCCACTTCCCGTGCAGCCTTGGGCAGGGGTCTGACCATGTCTCCGTGTCCGCCTGGGGTCCTTCTTAGGGACAGGGTGTCTGTGAAGTGCCTGGTAGGGCCTGGGACGGTGAGGGCCCTCCGTGCTCGGGGCAGCATTTCCTCACATGCTCAGCGTCCTTCAGAGCTGAGCTGCAGGAAATGAAGGGAGGTTGTGTTATGACGGGATGGTTTAAAACGTAGCTAAGACGGTTTACTGAGACAAATGTAGCCTGAGGTTTTTCTTTTGATTCTTTAGGTGTTACATGAAACCTTCCCTAAACATACGTTTCTGATGAATGGCCTGATTCAAGGAGTCAAGGTAGGATCAGTCGTATGTATACAGTCTGCATGCATGTGCTCACACCCACCACCTAATACACTGGCATGCCATGTAATCTGCCAGTATGTGAGGCTGGTTAATTGACCCAATAAGTGTCCATTTTTACACCTAGAGTGTGTCTTAGGTTTAAGTGCTTAAACTCGCTGGGCTTGAAATCTAATTTGACTCAAATGTAGCCAACTGTGTACACTGATAAACCCCTTCCCATCGGGTCCCCCGGGGTGTAGGTGTTGGCATTTTATTACCGAGATCCGAATGCTTTTGTAAACTGCCGGTAAGAACATAAACTGAAGAGAAAAGAGCTATTTTAGAAATGCAGAAATACAGAACTGTGTCAGTCTGGTCAGGTCTGGCATATTCTGCATGTTCTTTACTCCAGATTTCCTTTTACCAGTGGATTTTGTAAACAGCCTGTGACCATAAAAACATAATTAACACGATAGTCTTTCTCCAGCTGCTCCTGTGGAGTTCCTGGGGTTGCGAAGTCACTGGAGCGTTGCATATTTAATACGCAGCGAGACCCTGCAGATAATTCTAGACCAGCGGGCGCCAACCTTCCGGACCTCATGGACCACCAGTGGTCCGCAGACCACTGGTTGGCGACCGCTGTTCTAGACAGTCCTGGGGCATTCTGAAATCACATACAGATAAGAAATGAGTTGTCATCTAGAATTTGGTAATACACTTGTTTTGGAAATAAGCTGGTTTAAGATTCTCCCGTAGATTCACTTTGGGCTCATCACGTGCGTGATGCACTGTTTCCCTTCCCGCCGCAGGGTCTGCTGTCCTTCCTCAGCGCCCCGCTCATTGGTGCTCTTTCTGACGTCTGGGGCCGGAAGTCCTTCTTGCTGCTGACAGTGTTTTTCACCTGCGCCCCGATCCCTTTAATGAAGATCAGCCCGTGGTAGGTGCCCGTCGGGTTGCAGCAACGAAACAGCCCTTCTGCTCATTGCCTGCTGACTCCCGTCACTGTCTCACTTTGTGGCTGTCCCGTCTGTGTGTGCATTGTGTTCTTGTGCTTGAGTCTTCGATGCGGAGAAGAGGCCCTTGCAGGTGGAGTAGCTGAGTGATGGGTCCCAAAGTTCTCAGAACGAGGGGCGACAGACATCGTGCGGACACCTACGAGCGGCCGCTGGAGTTCAGGGACTGGTTAGGGTGCCAGCTTCCCATTCTGTTATGTGGAATGTTAGCACAGGTCACCATCACTCTCTGTATTAATTAGGAGTCGCTTTGTTACATAGCAGTAAAGCCCCAGTAGCTTGAAGTTGAGACTGATGCCTGTCCATGTTCGAGAAGCCTGGACGTGGTGGCCGCCGAGCTGGCGTGCCGTTCCGGGGAAGCAGACCTCCCTCTGCTGTCGTCCGCTGCCACCTTCGCTGGTCCAGGAGCGGCCCGAGCTCTCAGCTCGTGGTCACACTCCAGGGCAGGCAGGTGGCAGGGCGGGCACAACGCCTTCTAGAAGGACCACGGGGATTCCTGCCGCTCCCCCCTCCCCCCCCACAGCGTCTGAGTTCAGGCACATGCTGCCCGTGGTGTCACGGCTGGGCTCACTGTCCCCTGGTGAAAGTCGGCATCTTCGCTGGGGAGGGCGGGAGGGGAGGCGCCGGAGCATGGCTGTCCCAAGGCCCAGAGCCCAGCTTAGTGGTAAATCGGTTCGCTCTCTGGCTAATGTCCTTGTCCACTGAGTGTTGGCGTTAGTGCTGCATCGGAGGGACCAGACCCTTGCGAACACGAGTGGCCCAAGAAATGTCACAAGTGGCTGCGGGATGAGCAGAGGCCGCCTGTGGGGGGCAGCGCTAGAGCAGTCAGGGAGCAGCACGGTCCCACTGCCCGGCTCGCTAACGCTCACATGCTCACAGGCGATGTTGAAAGCTGTCCTGGGCATGACGCTGAAACATGTTTGGACTCAGCTTTTTATCATCTCTTGTTCGCTCTTTATAGTCACTTCCCAGTTCACTTCCGAGCACTCCGTGGGCCTCTTCTTTGAGAAGACGGAGCTGCCTGCTTTGCCAGCACTCACAGAGCTGGAGACGATGGGAGAACGTCTAGGCTCTGTACACAGGCCACAGGAACCCAGAGTGACCTGTGTTACTGGCTGAGTTTGTTTCTGTGTGTCCGTGCTGTGGGCAACAGTAGTGGTTGGATTTCAATAGCTTTGTTGCTGGTTTAAGTAGAAACAACGAAGCCACTTAAAAATTCCAACAGTTTGGGCAAGGATTGACTGGAGACATTGGCTACTTTTACGTGTTCCGCACGGTCATGTGTTGAGTGTGTTGCTGCCCCAGGGCCGCCGGCCTGTGCTTTCCTGGCCTGCAGAGAGCCGAGCTGCCCGGGGAGGTCAGGCCCTCACCTCTCCTGCCCCTTCTCTCCCTCCAGGTGGTACTTTGCCGTCATCTCTGTGTCTGGGGTGTTCGCAGTGACGTTCTCCGTGGTGTTCGCATACGTGGCGGACATAACCCAAGAGCATGAAAGAAGCATGGCCTATGGACAGGTGCGGGCCGCTCTCCTGCCAGCCCCGGGGCCTGGCTTGTCTAGTGATCTCACACGGGCAGTGCGTGGCGGTGCCCAACACATTTCCTGATGAACTCGTCCCTTCAGACTACACTACACATTGTTTCACGTACAGAGCTTGTACGTTTGGATGCTTGCATTCCGTATGTATTTGGTCACACATGTCAGATTTGAAATTACAGAATCTTGTTACGTTATTGAAGTTCTTTTGAACATTATATAGAACTAAGGACTCCTTTACTAGGTCAGGAGTTGGACATGGCTGACCTAAAATCAAGGGCAGACGCCCCGCTCCGAGCCCGCAGGCCTTGCTGTGCCGCGTGGCCCGTGCCTTCCCCTCGCATCCGCTGGCCTTGGCACAGCTCTCAAAGGCAGGAGCCGTGTCGGCCTAGGTTAGGCCCACAGGTGGTGCCTGGTTTCCTTCCTGCAGAGGAAGAGCCCGTGAGGCACAGGTGTGTGTGTGGGGGGGGGGGCAGCAGGGGTGGCAGCCGCTGTGGGAGGAAGGGGTCAGTCCTGACTCTCACCTCCGACCTTGCCTGGCTCCAGGTCTCCGCCACGTTCGCCGCGAGCTTGGTGATCAGCCCTGCCATCGGCGCATACCTGGGCCGGGTGTATGGGGACAGCCTGGTGGTGGTCCTGGCGACGGCGATCGCGCTGCTGGACATTTGCTTCATCCTGGTGGCTGTGCCCGAGTCTCTGCCTGAGAAGATGCGGCCCGCATCCTGGGGGGCACCCATCTCCTGGGAGCAGGCCGACCCCTTCGCGGCAAGTTCACCCCCTTCCCTTCTCTGGGGCAGAGTGTGTGCATGAGTCCGGGCAGCATAACAGGCTGTGGGTGTTTCTGGGGAAAACGTTGAAATCCTCTTGAGGTGGTTTGGGAGGATGAAAGGAACTAGAAAGGGGTGTCCGCGCGGCCCGCGGCAGTTCGGCGCTGACGGGAATGCTCCCTCCGTGGTTCCGTTTAGTCCCTGAAGAAGGTGGGCCAGGACTCCATCGTGCTGCTCATCTGCATCACCGTGTTCCTCTCCTACCTCCCGGAGGCGGGCCAGTACTCCAGCTTCTTCCTGTACCTCAGGCAGGTGAGCGCTTACCCCGCTTTCCTCGCTTGGGGCTGGGATGGCAGAGAGAAACCTCCATCCGAGGGAGCTGGGCTGGCGGAGACTTGAGACACGAAGGCCATGTGGGACGCACCGGCTCACCGGCGTCACTGCCGCGTGGCTGCTGTTCCTTAGGCAGAGACAGCCTTGCGTCAGGGTGGCTCAAGCTTGTCTTTGCTCCCACGCAAGTGAGGGGGGAGCCCCGGCCGCTCAGAGACTGTAGCGCCCGTCGGCAGAGCAGCTGCCCAGGAGCGTCCGTCTCTCCTCCCGGCCCTGGTCTCGGCAGCGATGCACCCCGAGAAGAGCACAGAACCTGCTGCTCATTTGTCAGGTGGATTCTGTGCGCTGGATGGCTGTCTCGTTTCGCTCCTCTAAACAGGTTTAGATTTGCTGACCTTGTGTTAAGTGGGTATATGTTTAGCACGTGAACACTTACCATAAATCTTGATTCTCCGGGAAAGCCAGGTTTTTCCTCAGAATACTTTGGTTACAAATGAGTAGTTTGATTTTTTTCTGGCTCATTTAATATTGCTGTGCAAGCCGTGGCATCAGTGTGGTGTTTGCTGTGCTTTTCTGTTGATGGGACTTTTTCTGGAACCTTCCAGATAATGAAGTTTTCACCAGAAAGTGTGGCGGCCTTTATCGCGGTCCTCGGCATCCTCTCCATCATTGCACAGGTGAGTCTCCGTCAGGCACCGCGAGTGACGTCATGGAGGGTGGGCCTGGCTGCCGTCCGGCTGCACCCGGGATGGGGTCTCGGTGGAGTCGCCCTGTCGGGCTCCGTGGGCTACAGGCTCAGAAATTTCACTTTGTCCGGCAGCTAATATGGATGAGATTTTGGGGACTGACCGACACATACCAACGTATGATGTATAAGTCAGAGCGATAATGTATTGATTTGCACCAATAAGCAGGGTGTACACCTGTATAAGGAGAGGCTGGGCCTGGTGTGTGGGGAGCAACAGGCAGGACGGCTCCGGGGAGGGGACAGGAAGTCCAGAGGTGGAGGGACCGGTCCTGCGGGAGGCCTTTGGGGGCCTTGGCAGAGGAGTGGCTTGCAATGGTGTCTTGGGACCCGGATGTAACTGGCGGTTTGAGGAAGAATTTGGATTTTCTTAGATCTGTTTCCTGGCCAGCAAGCTCTCTCTGTTCCACAGTAAGTTCTAGTCCAGTGACCGGGCCCTGCAGGCGATCGCACACGCTTCCCACTTGGTCCAGGCGGGCAGGTCCCGGGCCTGCTCAGAGGAAGCTCGGAGGAAGGAGGGTCGTGCCATCGGGCTTGGCAGTCTTCATCCCTTAGCGGGGCGCCCCCTGCAGACATCATCTGTGCGTGGGAGCAGGTCTAGTGATAAACTTTAAATCCCGTAATGTGCCTCCTCCACGGCCCCCAGTGCCCACACGTGACTGAGTGTGAGTGCTGTTTGTGACTCGGTGCCTCCTGGCAGCCCTGGGCTGGGAAGCGCTGCGTGTGGACACTCACTTGCTCGCAGCCTCCGAGGTCCTGCGGTGTGTGTGAGCCAGCGGAGCACCAAGGACAGGGACAGGGCACATGGTCAGAATGGAGCTGGGCGTGTCCCGCCCACCTTGCCCCCTGGGATTCAGCCCAGCTGCTCCCAACGCAGTGCTCTCTCTCTGAGGCCGCCGAGCTGAGATGGCGAGGACGTGTTTAGGGTTTGGATGGCAAAGCCGGGCAGCAGTTCACTGAGGCTGAGGCAGGGTGTCTCCCACTTGCCTTGGGCCCTCCCTCGCCGTCACCATGCCCACAGCCCAGCAGATGCCAACTTAGGGCATAGGTTCCCCAAAGCGCTTCACAAGTTTGAAGAATTAGCAACAAGCTTGTCAGCATTGGGGGGTGGGGGTGGGGGTTAATATGAAACTGTGGGTATGCAGGGCCCCTGTCATTGGTTCTGGTAGTGCTGGGCAGATTCTCTTGAGCCTTGCTCTCCGCCAGCCACAGGCTCGCCGCCTCGGTGCTCCACGTTGAGTGCCCTGCGGCCCAGGCCCTTCCTCCCTCCCTCTCTACCTTTCTCCTCCTCCTCCCCCCTCACACTACCCTTTCCTTCATGGCACCGCAGCCTGGAGGTGCCTTGTGAAATAGGTGCTGTGTCCCCTTCTCCCCCAGGTCAGCATCTTCTGTTGACCAGCACTTTGCCCTGTTCACTGGCCACACGGGCACTGCCCTCTGACCCAGAGTCCAGTGGGGTATCGTCGGGCCCTGGCAGATATGGTTAACTGTTAATGTTAATCAGTTGTCATCTTGGTTACGTCATAAATCAGTCTGTCTCCAAAACGAGTTACAGTGAATGACAGGATATGGCCTTGTTTCCTGTTGTGTTGTACACTGTATATACTAAGCAATTTGTTCCATTGAGAATATTGTGACGTTTAAAATCACGTTTTCATAAACACTATTAAGAGCTGGTGCTGGGGTACACAGACGAGGCAGAACCCCTGTGCTGGGAGGAGCCCCCAGCAGTGCCTGTGTGTGCGGGAGGCTGCTCTGCGCCCTGCTTCCCGCGGGGCTTCCTTCGCGGCCGTGGGTGAGGAATGTAGTCCGAGTCTGTGCCTTGGGAACCAGTCTCCTGCTGGCCTGTGGGAGGGGACGTCTGAGAAGACAGTGGTGGGTCCTAATCCTTCAGGACCCTTTGCTGGTGCTGAAATCTGATGAAACTCTTCAGTGGCTGCCTTAGCGAACGTGAGCCTCGATGATTGGGAGGTTAGAGTGTCACCAGTCACCAAGTAGTCATTTTCCGAATTGCTTCCTGCTCTTTGCGGATTTACTCGCTGTCTTGTGTGGTAGATGCAGCACCTTCACTAGAAGAGCAGGAATACCTCCGCCGTCCCCGGGTCACTGCCAAACGTGTTTCCTTTGAAAGAGAACGAGCAGCGGGAAAACCCGTCCGCTCATAACCGTGTTCATTAAGTGCTTGTATCCACTGTGCCGGGCACGGTGCTAAGCACGGTGTGAAGGTGACCAAGTGTGAAGTAGGTGCCGTCACTGCCAAACGGAAGGGACATTTTGTAGGAGACGGGGTCTCCGTGAGGTGACTTGGCCAAGACGGGGGGCAGCTGTTTCCCAGGGACCGTGCGCTGGGCCCTGGTGCCAGCAGCGGGAGTGCAGGCGAAGGCGGTGTGGATAACTGTACTGTTGAGGTTTCCTTTATTCGGGGAATAAGCATTGCGGAGTAGAGCTGTCACATCAGAGGGGTCCCCAGGTCCTGGTTGGAACCCTCTGACCTGCCACCTCGACCTCAGAACTGCTCAGGAAGCTCCCTGTTCCGTTCCCCAGGTCCCAGCGCTGCACCGCCGCAGGGAGGCCTGCTCGGCCTGCGGGGGAGGGGGGGGGGGGGGGGTTCGATTTAGGACGGCTGTGCAGAAAGCCCCAGCTAGGAAAGGAGTCCACCTGCTCCCAGCGGGAGGCGTCACCCCGTATTTTAAAGTGACTGTTCTGACAAACTATTTGGTCTTTCTTTTTTCCAGACCATAGTCTTGAGTTTACTCATGAGATCCATTGGAAATAAGAACACCATTTTGTTGGGCCTGGGATTTCAGATCTTACAGCTGGCGTGGTATGGCTTCGGTTCAGAACCTTGGTAGGTGTACTTATTTTAATTCCTTTAAACCAGTAGTTCTCAACCTTGGCTGCACATTAGAATCACCTGGGAATCTTTTTAAAATCCTGATTTCTGGGCCGCATCCCCGGAAATTGTTTTCTTTGTTATGGGGTGGGGGCCACGACATTAGTAACAAAAAACAGAATTTCCGGAGGCTGAGGCCCAGAAATAGGATTTTAAAAAGATTTCCAGGTGATTCTAATGTGCAGCCAAGGTTGAGAACCACTGCTTTAAACTGTTGGTGTTAGCCTTGTTTTGAGATATAACTCAATTTTTGTAGTTCTTTGTGTCTCAATTGAGGTTTAGACGTCAGTCTTACTGTGCTTTTTTTCCCTCGAACTGTGTAAAATACACATCTCTCCTGTGTGTGAATGTCCTAGGATGGCCTGGGGACAGAGAGGGACATTTCATAGCTGACTCACAGGCTGGGTTTTGAAGGAGGTTATGGAGCCTTTGAATCTCTAATGAGCATTTATTGCCTCCATCAGTTTGTCTTCAGAAAAAAGCACATAATCCCATAGCAACTGAGCCTACAAGTCAGTTACCTTGTTGGAAAGAGTTAAGTAGCCCCAGCGGGCAGCAGCAGAGGTCTGGGAGGCAAGCCCAGTGGTTCGGTCCAGCCTCCTGCTGGACACGTCTCCCTTCCTGCCAGGCTGGCTCCCTGCATGAGGGAGGGATGGGTGTCCCCCTGTCCTCAGGCGTCAGGACTGAACTCCAGTTTGGACTCATGTTCCACAAACTGAACAGTCTGTTCTGGTGGCATTTGTTTTTCTAGTCCAGCTTTTAGGAGTTGTTCACAGTTTATAAAACATTTATTTCAAACATCAAACCAGGAGCATCCAAAGTTGTGATCAAACCAGTGATGCCTCCACTGAATCAGAAGTCGGTGGGGACCTGTAGGAAGTTACTGACCTCACGTGTTTGGAAACATTTTTATACATTATTCTCCACATTTGGGGGGAGGAGGACCTTCCCAGGGTCTAGTGACGTGGCTTCCCATTAGTGCTCACATGGTGCCCACTGAGACGGGCAGGGGGAGCAGGGGTCTTAGCTCTGCCACTCTGCCCACAGGATGATGTGGGCCGCAGGGGCCGTGGCCGCCATGTCCAGTATCACCTTTCCTGCCGTCAGCGCGCTCGTGTCCCGAACTGCTGATGCCGACCAACAAGGTGAGTAGCTGGGTTCGTAGCAGCTGTGTGGGCACAGATGTTCCAGCCCTGTCCTCTCCTGGGGGACACAGAGCCTTGGCCTCACGCTGACCCCTTATGTCTGCTCCGGTGACTGGACAGACCCCTGGGGGCGCTCCCGCGCACGTCTCCCGGGCTCAGTGCTCTAAAGGCACAGGGCAGACATGTGTATCGTCTTAGCTTTGTGGTGGGAACATTAGTTCCTAAAATGCCAATAATTATTGGAAGTGGCAACTAGTCATAAAAAGGGGGATCTTACAAGAGAGGCAGTGGCCACTTGGTTGGTACATGAGAAAGGAATGCAAGTTGCATTTTGAATGAGATCATCTCAGAGACAAATAGGTACAAGAGGGCTACCCTTGACTACTGGGGACACAGTCGTGCTCCTGAACTGGCCGGACTCGTTGCCTGGGAACCTCGGCGGGGGTGTGTGTGTGTGTGTGTGGGGGGGGGGGGGAAAAGGGTTCTGCGCACTGCGCACTGTCGCTGCATCAGCCAGTCACGCTGTCAGCCGATGACTGCGATGGCAGCAAACTCCCAGCGTCTGAGAAGGGCTCTGGCTTCCCATGTTTGGTGCAGGTTCCAGGGTCGCCGGGACCCGAGCTGCACTAAGTGACGCTCTGTCCCAACCATTCAGGTGTCGTTCAAGGGATGATAACAGGCATTCGGGGGCTGTGCAACGGTCTGGGACCAGCTCTCTACGGGTTCATTTTCTACATATTCCACGTGGAACTGAAAGAGCTGCCAATGACAGGAACGGACTTGGGGACAAACACCAGCCCACAGCACCACTTTGAACAGGTAAAGATTGTGTGACATTCTCGCTCTTTCAGGCTGACTAGCACTTAAAAACCAAGGCCTGATGGGCGGTGCGTACTTTCCCCTCCGAGAGTTACAGCGGTTTCAGCGTGCTGGTTTGGTCTTGCTGCGGGGCCGGAGCAGCCTCCTGTGGAAAAGGCAGGGGCGTCGTTTGCTAGGCCTCCTCGTTACAGCTGTAATATTAACGGCAAACAGTACAGACCACTCAGCAGTTTCCTTGCTCACTAACCTTGTAACCAGCTCAGGCTGGTTTCAGTGAGTCAGGCGGTGGTTTGTGGGCGGTGCGTAGGCCTGCAGTGCGAGTGCTGGCTGGAACCAGGTCTGTTGGAGCTGCTGGCTTTCCTTGTGAGGTTTGTCCTGGTTTCTCCTGAACAAGCATTAGGTGAATTTCCTGGGGTGTGCAGATCCTGTGCCGCCAGTGACACTGTTTCTGCAGAGGCTGCTTTCTGGGGTCTTATCCCCAGGCCCTCATGAGGCTGAGAGCACCTCCTTCCTCCTGAAAGGGAATGAATGCTTGTCCTCATTGTGGCTTTAATGCTGAAAGAGAGCAACGTTGGCTTCTAATTCATAGCGACCGGTAATTACTACAAGATAAGCAGCCTCTTATGCACAAAGATGTTTGTGCAGGAACGCTCATTGGCTCTCTCTCCCCTAGAACTCCATCATCCCCGGCCCGCCCTTCCTCTTTGGAGCCTGTTCGGTGCTGCTGGCTCTGCTGGTGGCCTTGTTTATCCCGGAACACACCAACCTAAGCCTGCGGTCCAGCAGCTGGAGGAAGCACTGCGGCGGCCACAGCCACCCTCACAGCACACAGGCGCCAGGAGAAGCCAAAGAACCCTTACTCCAGGACACGAACGTGTGAGCGAGCGGCCGCGGCCAGGGAGCCTTCTCCAGCTGCACCAGGCTGACTGCGCCTGAGTGCTGATGTACATTCCACGTCACCTCCACACTCTAAGGGTGTCTTAAGGAACGGATCTGCATGGACTCCTGGACAGTTTTCCAAAGATGTTACAATTTCTTTTGAAAAGAAACCTTTTGTTTAACCGCACCACTTCCTGGCC